TTTAGTAACAGAAATGTTTTCTTGAAACATTAAGTTTTAAACATTTTTCACATCAAATATTTCTTCACTTTCAAATAGCCTGGGTTAGCTTGAAAAATATATTATATTCACTTTGTTACACTTTAATGCATTAATAATGATAATATAACTTTGAAAGAGGCCAATTATGCCCATATTGCTGCTAACAATTACTGGAAAATAATCAGAAATTGAAATGTAAGTAAGAAACTGTGTGTGTGTGTGTGTGTGTTGTGTTGGTGTGTGGTGTGTGTGTGTGTGTGTGTGTGTGTGTGTTACATTAAGATCAAAGACTTAAAGCATGAGTTTACTTTTAGGAATAATGTAGTTCTCTTAATTAGATCAGTTGACATTCTTGTGGTCTGTGAGTGACACACAGATTAAAAGTTTTTCCATTAACAACCTCAACTTTTATTTCAACACTTGCATAGAGCAATTAGGAAACTCTTGACTCCCCTATCCTCCCCTTCCTCTTTTTAAAGTAACTCTTCCCATTCATCCTCCAGGGGAAACAGCGCATGTGATTAAATCTCTGCCCTGCCAATTAATTCATGGCTTCATAAATATACAAATGTGCTATCAAACTGGAACTAGATCATCCAGGAGAGTCGCGGGAGCTCTCAGTCTTCGCTGTTGTATAGTACTCTATAAATTATCCAGCTGTTGGCTTGCTGTGCTTCTCTAAACAATGGCACACATCATCAAGTCCCAGTAAATCATCCAAATACACACGTCCTGTTACTAAGCATGTGGTATTAAAGGAATAGCATGCTGCTGACTTTACTTGACGAGCTAAATACTGACTTAAATGATTCATTAAATATATTTTGAATTAAATAAAGTTTACACAGTCAAGCTCAGCCTCGGTCCAAATAAATGTGTGTGTGTGTGTGATTGTGGCCCTGTCTGTGGATGTGCATATGATGCATTCACAGGTCTGACTCATGGTATGTCAACTGGCCGTCATGTTATTTACCAGTAAATAAATAACATAATGCTTCCTTTGACTTGTTGAATGATTAAATGAGTGTTTGAGAGTCTACAGAGAAAGTCCTCAGCAGGCGAAGAGCAGCATCAGCGGCTTGTTCAAATGCTTCAAATAATCCACGTTTTCTTTTTTTGGGACATGCAACCACAGCCAAAGTTGTTTCTTTTAACATGAAAACAAATTTTCATGTTTTTTGCTGCCTTAACTTTAACCACAGAGGAGGCAGAGCAGAATAAGCTCATATGAATATCTTTTGTAATGGTCGAATGTGTCATTTTGTAAGGCACTGGCAAATAAAAAATGACCTACTTGTCTACTCATTACCTGACATTTCCTTATTTTGGAGTTGTTGGCAAAAGTAACTAGTATTCAGTGTGTATCTCAGGTTAAAAGTTCAAACTAATTTTAATGTTAAAATAAAACACTGTAATCCTATCAGGTATGCTCTGTTTATATCTCAGACCTACTGCCTGTCTGTCTTACTACAAAACTAATAACATACTTGAATAGCATTGACTCCTTAATCTGCTTAAACAGGTGTTCCTTCGGTAGATCTGACTGAGGTTATGTAATAATGGGCCTTCCAGTATGCAGCGTGAAGCCGCGGAACATTGAGGTGACATTAAATCAGATTTCGTCCCATTAGGCGTCTCTCTGATGGCCCGAGAGTTTTGATGAGCTGTTTGGAGTTCTGCCAGAGACAGCACGATCCTGAGAGAGGAGAGCGAGAAGAGAGAATGTCATTTTACTTCATCACAAACTCCACTGTGAGAAACAGTCAAGCATGTCTTCAATGGCTTGTGCATTATTCATGTAGAGTGTTGAACAGCCCTTCTCCCCTCTCTCTCTCTCTATTTATCTAAAAACCAATCTGTTTTCCACTCTTCTGTTAGAACAAATATGTTAAACACTGAATTGTATTGAATTGACCATATTAAATGCAGTTACCGTGTCAGGTAAGGTGTGTTTATGGTAAACACACAAATCTATAAAGTGGTGTGTGTGTGTCTGTGTGTGTGTGTCTGTATTGCATGCACTGAAAGAGAGAGGGAGGGACAGAGACAGTATTCACTTGGAGTGAATGAAGGAAATGTGACTAGAACTAATGAACTTCACGTGTTTCTGACTCTTAACTCAATTATGATGATGACAGTTAAATCGTTTTTTTTTTCATATACAGCAAAAATACAGCAAACGGGGATACCCTTATCCAAAGAATAGGTTGTTGTTAGGCCATACTGCTGTAATTTTGTCCTCTCACCATTACCCAACACTGTTCCTTTCTTTAACAGTATTTGTTCCACACAGGTTGCGTATTCATGGATAGTTTAATGGGTCTTAGCCTACACATTTTTAACATCAATTAGACTAAGCACATTTTTCTGCATTTACTGTATTCTGTATACTGTAATCTGCACATTGGTATGAAATCCTATGCGTTTGTGCAAAGATGCAAGGATGTATTCTCTTAGCCGCATCCCACTGGCCAAAACATATCCAGCTGGCTCTGATGGTGTTAGGAACAATAGAGGAAGAAGTCAAAATTTGCAAGGATAGGAATAATTTAAAGCCAAATCTATCAAAGAAGAATAGGTTTGCTTACCATTTTTGAATTTGCACGGGTGGCAGTAGAGGAATGCCAGTTGTGGGGTTTCCCTCCAAAAAATGAACATCCTCCACCCACTGACTACATATGTAAATATATACATGACAATACGTGAAAACACTGAATTGGGCTTATTTTTATTGACATTTTTAAAGTGTAAGGCTGACAATATTACATACATTTCTTATTGCCTTCAAATCTCATGAAAAGACCAAATGTAATGATGACTTGCTCCTACTATCAAGTATTGCCTATAGCTGAAGCCTGACATAGGTTATTCCTCAGTGACATTGTTGTCCAAAAGGTATTAATAACACACCAGTGATGCAACCATTGCACTGTAGTTTATTTTGTGTCAGTCCCTCATGCATCATTCTGGTGCTGTAAATAATGTGTATATTTATCCACGGCTGAAAATAGTTCCCCCAACAAATGCACTATTTGCTCTTGTTTTAGGAACATTAGCTTAGAACTACAGGGCCCAGCTGTTTTAGGAAATTACAAAGACCTGTTTTTAAAAATTTACATCTTTATTAATCACAGATACAACAGGTTGGTCAGAAAGTATGCAGGGATGGAGTAATGCATTTTTGGTTATGGTGCTCCATTAAATTTCCTACTCCAAATCTGTATATGGCCTGTCATACTGTCACTGAGTACAGTATATTTTTGAGGCAGAGTGGGGAAGTTTTCTTACCTTTAGACATTTTTGCTGGTAGGGAGAACATGATCAAAGAGACAGGTGTTACGGTCAGTTGGAGACACTTTAACAACTTCTTGGCTCTGTTTTCAGGATACTTTTTATACTGGCAGTGTCCTGCTGCCCAAAATATGTAGGAATCCATATGTCTTTTAGCCTGAGAAAGAATTAAACACATTGGTTTTATAGTTTCCTCCTTACATTCTCACAAATTTGTTGACTGACAGTAATTGTAGACATAAAGGTCAGAAAATTTGACCTGCACACATACGCACACACGTCCTTATCCATCACCCAGAACATCCCATGTGTGTCAGGTAATTGGTTCCATGGGGAGTTATACCTAATTGGTGCGTAGCTGTCAATAGTGCAGGTATTTCAAGGCAGTAGCCCGGAGCCAAGATGAAAGAGACATAGAATAAAATACAGCCATGAACCCACACTTGGTGGGATTTAGAGATAGAGCAGAGCTCAGAGTGGTGCTGTTTATCTGTTAATTTGTTTTTCAGTGTCTCCTTCACTGGTGGTTGGAGCCCACTTGCCAGCTGCGTGTCAAAATTAGCTTGGTAGGGTAGAAATTCTCGCACAGACGGTTACACAGGCAAACAAACAAGCGAGCTGAAGGGACTAAAGCCTACAATTACGGTTGAGGCACTATTGTTGAGATTTGCATCCTCTCAAATTGAGGATTGCTGCAGTGGTCTTGAGATAAGCCTTCTCACCAGTGCTGCCCCACTAATTTAAGAGCGTACAAGAGTAGAGGCAGTAGACTACCTATACTCATAGTGGAAGCTCATTATTGAAATGAAAACAACACATGACCGAGGGTTTGGGCTTGTGCACTGATGTTGTTCTCTCATTACATTTCCTTTGGTTTTATAGGAGCTTTCCTATTAGTCTCCAACTGAACAGAGACAATGGGATTCAGCCCACATCTGTTTCACTTCAGTATTGCCTTTTACTGCATGTTGCTGCTCTGTACGTCCAAATGGATGAATTATTTCAGTTCAGTTTAGTTCAAAGATTCATAGTCACTGGCAGTGGAGTTTGTTAAAATTTTTTCGATCAGCGATCACCATTCATACAGCAGTTACGCTGATTGCTGGTACAAGCTGTTACTTGCAGTTCAGTACAAAATTAGACCCATGCGAGCACTGTACTTAACGTTAATAGCTCATCAGGTGACTATTTGCAATACAGTCATCACATCATGATTGTTTCTGTGGGTTTTGTAGTCTTTTAATAAAGCTGACAGTGGGTCCCTTAGTCACCAGTGAGGTGTGAGCTCCACTGCTAAAAGCTACGCACACGATGATGCGATTATGGTGATTCAGTATACTCAGTTTAGTTTGAAGATTTGTTTATACATACACTGCATACTGCCCTGTCCCCCTAAGAAAGTCATGAATGAAATAGAAAATCTATCCTTGCAGTAAAGCTGCATTAGTGGAACCTGTTTTGTTTATGTTGTGTGAAATTAAATGACTGTAGTGTCAATGATGCTGCTCTTGAGAACAGTTTTATGGGCACGTCAATCTGAATCAGCGGTATCATCGTATCGTCTAGCACTACCTCTCACTCTAAATAATGATAATGTTTTATTCTTATTCAAATCTTTTTCATAATGTTTTACTGTTCCCCATGCAATCGTTATATTATAGCAACTTCTTTCTCTCTCGCTCCGTCAGTGATGGATGGGCAGACCGTTATGAGGTTGTGGAGGGTTATGAGCAGGAAGCAGAGGGAGGAATCACCATGAAGCTGCAATCAGAGGTGGTCAAGACTTTTGATGACTACTACCTGAAGCTGCGTCTGGACTCCAACACCAGGAACCCCTGGTTCTCTGAGTTCTGGCAATACCGTTTCCAGTGCCGCCTGCCAGGCCACCCACAGGAGAACAAGAACTACAAGAAAATCTGCTCTGGTGGGTGACTACAGAGAATTGTATATTTTTGTTGTTTATTTCTGAAGGATTGCTCTCATGCATCGTCCTCTATTCTTTCATCTGCCTGATTTGAGGGTTAAATCTGTGTGAAAAACTCATAAATAATAACAAACCATGTATTTCTTTCTGTGTTTCCCTTCCTTTGCTCTCAAAAGGTGATCATGGTAAATTGTGTTCTTGACTTGTTAATAGCATTTAAATCACAATTCAGAATGACTCACAATACATCCAATCAAAACCAAAAAAGTAATCAAATGAACAATGCAATCAAAATTAAAGGGAATTGCTCAGCATGCTTTTAATCAAATGATAAATAAAATCAATTAGTGGTTTTTATGACTGTCTCAGTGCAGCACAGTCATAGTCTGCTTTATTACTTTCTCTGTATCACACTTTTATATACCTCTTTTATTCCAAAGACCTTCAAGGTGGTAAGTGCATTTTTCTAGCCTCTACCATGGTGATAACTTTTTATCAGAACTGCACCTGCATTCTGTAAGCATTTGACCCATCCAAGACAGGAAGAGTTTGACTGATGTTTTCTTTAACACAACACTGTCTGTAATGTCTTAAAACTGCAATTTCGTCAAATGGTAAGATGTCTTGATTCCAGCAGTAACAGGCTCTTGGCCAGAGTCAGGATTGCATCAGTCAAACTCTGGAGCACTCGGCTTGTTTATATTGTATGAGAAATAAAAAGAAAATGGCCTCACACTTTGAGAAACTGCACAAAGGAATGGCTCACCCAGCACACACTGTTCCCCCAAACCGCTGAACACCCGAAAAAAATGTTGCTGTATTGAGATCGCACCTTTTCTTTTCTGTGTGCATGTTGATGTCAAAGACAATGAATATCAATATTTTAAATGCACTGTCTAAGGAGGCAAAGAGAAATGGAAATTCAGTCTTAAACATAGGAAGAAATATCACACAAGTCTGTAAGAAAAAAGTCTCTTTTTCTTAAAAATTTCCCACCATCCAAAACATTGACATTTGACCGTGGGACAGTGCCTTTAGAAGGCTGACATTGAAGTACAACATGGCGTCTGCAGTCTTGGGATTTTCCCAGACATTGGTTGTTCTCCACATTTGTTTCCTATTGAGCCTCTGGACATCAGGTTGTGAATTCCTTGTATGCTAATATATTCTGTTTTGCAATACATTCTTCATGTCTGGTTTAAATTTCATCATGCATTGTGGAAAACAACTGTTTTTTTTAATATATATTTTATTCTTACAGTCTAACTGCACTTTAAGAGCACAAAACAGCACAAATCAAGAAAGTTTTCTTCAAATGTAACTCAAAATTCTTTCATCCTTTTAATGCCCTTTTTTCCTCTCTAACAGGAAATGAGAGTCTGCATGAAAACTATGTTCAGGATAGTAAAATGGGCTTTGTCATCAATGCCATCTATGCCATGGCTCATGGCCTCCATGATATGCACAAAGAGGTGTGCCCAGGGCAGACGGGGCTCTGTGAGGCCATGGACCCTATCGATGGCAGCAAGCTGCTGGACTACCTACTAAAGACGTCTTTCAAAGGAGTCTCAGGAGAGGATATTTATTTTGATCAAAACGGAGACACCCCAGGAAGGTAAGAGGATGAGGAGGGTGGTAAAAATGTAGAAAAAGGCCGGAAAATGGTTCACACGTGGTTATAATCAGTACATTTCTCCTGTCTAACACTCTCCTGCTCATTAGCACACATGCACATGCACAAACGTGTGCACCAGTCTCGATCACGAAAGGATGTAATTAGTTTGGACTGGAACAGATTTAGTGGATTGTCCAGTCTGGCAGCTACTTTCATCTATCTTCAGTCCAACAGACAGCATTTGACAGTCAGAAAGCACAGCCGTGTCATTCCTCTGTCAACTAGAGGTCAGGTGGAGCACATCCTGGTTCAGTATTAAAATGATGCCAGAGTGTGCACTGGCATGAGCTCTTGATGTCACATTACCAGGGTTGTAAGCTGTTTAAGTGACTTTGGATAAGAAAAAAGGTTTGCTAAGCTGTTGAGTCGTTATCATTAAATTACCTGTCACTCTCTTCTCCCCTAGCTCTACAGCTCCCTCTTCCTCACTCTCTCTCAGTCTCTGATCCTTTACCTCTTCTCTGTTCTACACCCCCCCC